TCTTCTCTTCCTGAGTGTCATGTGTCAGCCTTACAGGATCCCGTAAGGCTGACACATGACACTCAGGAAGAGAAGAGAAAGGAAGGTCACTCAACTGAATTTAACTGTTAAAACTCAGCTTCTCAATGTTTGGCACCCTTAGTATTCTCAATGTGGCTTTTACAAAATGTTGAGGGAACTCATATTTGACCTGCTCTACATTGCTTCTTGTTCACAAAGCAAGTACTGCAACTTCATTCTGAGATATAGTTAGGGAAAGTAATCAATTTACACATCCTGAGGACAAGACCACAAATACACACATTACTGAAAGTAATACACAGGGGCTGAGATATGCTACTGACCACAAAGGTTTGACAGATGTAATATAGATCACTCTGCAAATGGTTCTGTGGTTTTTGTTTTAATACATATAACAGTGGTATTTCAGCTATTGGGAAAAAAGGAACATAATCATCAAATTCATAACCACAAGGAAAAAAAAAGGTGACAAGTTGACAGAAGAGATGTCAAGCACACAGATGGGCCAAAGTACACAAACATTACTTCAAGTGTGCAGTTTTAAGCCACAGTGTGGCTAGCCTTACAAAATTTTACCTTTTGTTTACTATTACATAAAAGAAACTGCTTAACAAAAGGGTTGACCCCAGAGCACTGAAGGAGGTAGCAAATGTTAAGAGTAGGACCGCTCCATCATCGGCCTAAGATTTGGGGAGGTCCCTGCTGACTAAATCCTACCATGAATCACCTCAGTTAAAAACAATACTGACTAAAACAATGGAAAGCTATATGAAAAGCTTATATGAAAAGCTAAACAAATCTCACCAGAAGCACCATTTGGAAACTTTGGATTTCCCACGGCAATGGCCTATGTGAATTTTTCGTGTCTAATGGTCTGACTGAACATGAGTTTCTTGTTCAAAGGACAAAAAGGATTTTGTCTATCTTCTCCATATGTGGTTACCAATGTTCTGGAAACTGTCAGGCTGAGCATTACTACCATGACTTGTGTCCCTTTGCAAAACCCTAGAAAACCAGCCACTATTTCAAGTCACTGGAATGTTGAGTGGGAACAGAATCATAGCAGAAAGCAAAGAGGGACTTCACTCCTTCATCTCCAGCAATGCAGAAAGCTATTCCTAGCTAAAGCATAGTCCAGGGTCAGATAGAATCTCATGGGCCTCGTTATCCCTGAAAGCTGTATGTTGGGAAGGAAGCAAGCATGGTAAGAAGTCTTTTGGTCTTTCCTGTCGCAATTCCTTTGCACTGCCCATGCAATGCCAGGGCCTGCCACATTGGATTGTAGACACAAAATTTACTTTTACCGTACTAATCCTGAAGACTGAAAACAGCCCAAAGGATTTATACAGAGATACAGTAACTGAGTTATCCAGTTACGGCTTCTAGGTAGTATCTGGATACCTGAATCTATCAGTACATGGCACTCTACCCGTGTTGTCAAGCAAGGCATTGCTACTTCACTGATGCCTATAGGTCCATGTTGTATGGTGACAGTTTCCCACTCTAAACTGGTGTCTGGAATACAGAAAGGATTCAGAGTGCACCATCAGCATCACCTTCTTGCCATTAGACATTTTGAAACAAATAGACACCACAGAGTCAGAGCTAACAAGCGTCATGAAGTTCCTACTAAGCAATCATAATGCTTCATTTCATCCTGGACACCTGGCTTTAAGATATTCCCAAATGCAATGCAATAACAGAGGAAAAGGAATAATTACTAGCACTAAATATTTGGAAAAAATTACAAGGTTTACAATTTAGATACAACTTACCATGCCTTTGTAAAATAAACTCCTTTGACTCAACATATTCAGACTGCTGCGAGAAAACAACAGCCTTAACTCGAAGCCAGTGAGATGAATAAGGGTCATATATTTCCTTTGAGAAATCACAAAAATGATCTGTAGTGTTCATACAGGTTGAGATTTTCTTATAGTAACCTAAACTGTAAAACAGATCAAGTAATAGTTAATACAACTTCAACTGCATAATTCTGTACAATACAGTGCGAGTAACAAAGAACTGTGAGGGTGGCCAGGACCTGTGAGGGCACAGATTGCCCAGGGTGGTTGTAGAGTATTCTACCCTAGGGACATTCAAAAGCCCTCTGGATATAATCATGGATGACCTGCTCAAGCAAGGGGGTTGAACCAGATGACCTCCAGAGATCCCTGCCAACCTCAACCACCCGATTACTTGACAAATTTTGCCTTAATTTACACTTGGGCAACCTTCATCCCATGTGACATCACCACATACAACCAAAAGAATTTACCATGGACTGACTGCTTTTGTATGTTTCTAGATAACATCAGGTACAGGAGATAACAAAATAATAAGAACTTACTTGTAAGGCTTGATTTCCACAATAAAACGAGGAGTTTCAGACATAGGTGGGTACTGCCAATGCAAAACTGATTTGAAATTTTCAGATGTCACTACAAGCTCCGTTGGTGAAGGCACTAGAATGAAGAGAGCAACTGCACTTTGATAAACAGACCTTTGCAAACACAAGAACAGCCAAATGTACTTCTAAATTATTTGGAAAAGGCAACATGCTAGACACAGAAATCACAAATACTTCCCCCAGATGAGCTAGTCTGTCACCAGTAAAAACACCCATGAGCCCTGTAAGTTGATTTATTATTCATCTCTCCTGCTGAGAGGAGAAATGTCCTCTTTGCAAGAATGTCAGATAACCCAGGTGCACTGAAGGCAAGTGCATCAGACAGCCTGTGTTCAGAAACTGAATTGGAGTGGATGGAATTCCCTATGAATTTCTAACAGTGATACTTCTACCACTCCAGCAGTATTTTCCGCAAGCTGTAATGACCAAAATGAACTACAAACATTTGTAAGGAAATTGAACACTGAAGCTATAATGTAGTTCCATTTGAAGGAACATGTTTTGTGGTGGTGTGTTTTTAATAGGTTTTTGATTTGTTGCACAAATGGTTTGAACTGTTTTCACCTTCTGATGTTGGTTTCTTCCAAGTTGTATCCTCCTCCCTACTGCCATCAATCATTGTACCCCAACCCCTTTTTCCAGTGCCTTCTCTGTCAGTCATTGTGACCCTACCTCTTTATCCAGATCCCTCCCTGTCAGTCTTACTTAGCAGCAACCCTCTGTTCTAGAATCCTCCCTGTCAATCATACTGTATTTGACATTCCATTATTCCATTGGATTTTAACTGTTCCTGCCCCCAAGCTTTCCCATTGGATTATGTATTGTAAGCTCCACCTTAAATTCCTTTCCTAAGGCTTCCCTATTGGTTCATGATTTGCATCATCCCCTTACTCCTCCCTCATATATAAGACGTTGCATAGCATACAACTTCTGACTTTTCTCCCTGGCTCCTTTGGAGATCAAATCCATCTTCAAAACCCATACAAATGGCCTTCCCTCATTCTCGCCTCCACACTGCGCCTGATGAGCCAAAAGTGCCGTAGAGCTCTGCTCTAAGCTGCACCTCCGGTCATCCTGCTCCCGAGGCGTGTCCTACTCCTGACGAGGGACAGAGGGAGAGCTAGCCAGCTCTGGCACTGTGTCAACGTTTGAAGTACACTTAGCAAAAAATGTCAGAGGTAATGTAGTAATGCATTCCAAAAAAAAGAAGCAACACTGACAGTCTTCCATGTATCTGTTTCAAGTTGCAAGCCCAATAGGGATATCAAGGGAGCAGCTTCAGGAGAAGAAAAATTACAGGATCCCGTAAGGCTGACACATGACACTCAGGAAGAGAAGAGAAAGGAAGGTCACTCAACTGAATTTAACTGTTAAAACTCAGCTTCTCAATGTTTGGCACCCTTAGTATTCTCAATGTGGCTTTTACAAAATGTTGAGGGAACTCATATTTGACCTGCATGCTACTGACCACAAAGGTTTGACAGATGTAATATAGATCACTCTGCAAATGGTTCTGTGGTTTTTGTTTTAATACATATAACAGTGGTATTTCAGCTATTGGAAAAAAAGGAACATAATCATCAAATTCATAACCACAAGGAAAAAAAAAAGGTGACAAGTTGGCAGAAGAGATGTCAAGCACACAGATGGGCCAAAGTACACAAACATTACTTCAAGTGTGCAGTTTTAAGCCACAGTGTGGCTAGCCTTACAAAATTTTACCTTTTGTTTACTATTACATAAAAGAAACTGCTTAACAAAAGGGTTGACCCCAGAGCACTGAAGGAGGTAGCAAATGTTAAGAGGAGCAGGACCGCTCCATCATTGGCCTAAGATTTGGGGAGGTCCCTGCTTACTAAAAGACAACCACTATTCCAACTTACAAGAAGGGCATGAGGAAAGACTCAGGAAACCAGACCTGTTAGCCTAATCTCAGCGCCTGGAAAAAATGATGGAGAAGATCATGCCAGGTGCTCTCAAAAGACATTAGAAGAAGAATATCATCACCAGGAACAGTCAACACGGGTTCACAAAGTGCAAGTCCTGCTTAACTGATTTATTACCTGCCTTGTAGGTGAAGGGAAGGCAGCAGATATATTTCTTCTGGATTTTAGTACAGCTTTTTTGCGATACTGTTTCGCACTGTGCTCTTCCAAACAAGTTGGCATATGCAGGTTCACAGCACACTGAGTGAAGAACTGGCTGAAGGGCAGAGCTCAAAGGGTTGCTGTGAACGGGGCTGCATCCAGCTGGGGACCAGCAGTGTCCCCTGGGGCCCAGTTCAAGGGCCTGTTCTGTTCAGTATTTTTACCAAGGATCTGAATTTAGGATTTGAATGCACCTTGGGCAAATTTGCCAATGATACTGAACTGGGAGGTGCTGTCCACCCTCTCAAGATATGCAAGACCTTGCACAGGTAGCTGAACAAATAAGTTTTAGTTGTCTAGCTCACAGCTCTTTTACTCAGGCTGGCTATCTGATTTCTAATGATTTCTTCTGCAGACAGTTCAGAGACAGTGCCTGGGGATGCCACAATCCCATCTCACTCCAGCATCAAGAATACAGATCACATAGGACACTGCAGATTTTCAAGGTGCTAATGTTTAATCTTTATAGATGCAATTTCTGCATATTGCCAGTTAAAAGGCCATGATACTGTATGTGAACACTAACTAAACATAATGAAGCTTTCATTTTCCTAACACGTTACACCGTGTTCTATGTTGCTCCGCAAGCACAAGTGGAAGATTACGACAGCAGTTAGTGCCATGAAGGTAACTGTGAAACATAAAACTCAATTTATAATAAACATAAATGCAGCAACACTAAAGGTGCAAATTCAAACAGTGAGACAGCAAGTACGGAATGAGAGAAGAAAACTGATCAGCAACTCATGCCATAATGCATGACTCAGGAAACTCAGCAAGTTCTAGTTTGCCTCCAGTTCAAAGTGTTTCCCCCTGGCAGTTCACCTTGCCTTCTAAGACAGCAATACTGGCTGCTGAGAAGCCAACAGAGAACAGCAAGAACCATTTTTTTCACAGAAATTTAAATGAGTATGTGCACTGTAGAACAACATAAAAGGAATTTCAGGAAACAGCTCTACATCCACGGACTGAAGGAATACAAGGCAAAGGCAGGCCAATCAGATACACTTTTCCTAAGCATGCCAGAATAAACTAAACATGCCGGTATTTTGAAGATAAAGAACTGCAATTTTGGAAAGCAAAGATAGTAGTAAGAGAGGGGTAAAAGTAAAGATAAGCATGACCACAGGGTGACCTGGAAGTTTAGAATTAAACAGAGAACAGACGTGGGAAAACAGCTGCACAGTTTATCTCAGCAAATTCACACCTGCATCAGTTTATAACTTGGACAGAAATGTACTTATTTGTCCACATGCAAACAACCAAAACTATTGCTGCCATACTGATGGCAAAGATCTCATCAGGTGTGACTACTGTGGGACATGAATGTGTATATACATTATCAAACACCTTCTCAATGTGAAATTATTTCAACTAAAGTATTTAAGATTTAGTAGACATTTACACCTTCAGCCAACTCGCATAGCAGACAGGAAGGAAATACATGTGAGAGGAAATGAAAGGACAAACTCCACTGAAAGACTTATTTTACTGCAAGTATCTGCTGCTGCTTCATTTCAGGCTGCTAAATAAGGGGGATTTTGGTTTGGTTTGGAGGGTTTTTTTCTGAGTAGCAAACAAGTGCACCCAGTTGTGTCTTCTTAGACTAAGATAGATAAATGTTAGAACTAATCCACTCCTTGCATACAAGATATGATGCATTTTTGCTTCAAAAGTGTACATCATCAAGGCAGAAAATGCTTCTTTTAACCTACAAGACAAATTGTGATTTGTGAAGAAGACTAATTTGTTTTATACATACCCTTCTCCAAGTCAGAAATAACTACTGCACACCTCTCACAAATATCAGCAGGGTCAGACATATACAAACCATATAGGCATAAAGAAAGGTTTCTTTACCAGCTTGAAACCCGACATTCTTGTTGACTTTGCAGGTGCTCCTGAACAATACTACCTATGAAAAGTACTTACAAAATACAAGTCTGAAGCAGCCATAGTCTCAATAAAATCTATTTTTAAAGCATATACTTAAGAAAGGACTTAGTATTTTGTATATATGTAGATGTCCTACCTGTTCACTGAGCCTTGGCAATGCATTGTCTAGAGCAAAAATTAATTCAATGAACTGGACATTTCTAAGATGTAAAAATTAGACAGCCTTCAAGCTGATACTTGTATCTTGTGCAAGGCTGAAACTCCTTCCTTCATTCTGACATTACTGCATACACAAAGAGATTTGTCACCACTGCTTACACAAGCAGAATTCAGCTGAAGTGCAATAATGCACGTAACAGAACAGGGCCTGATGAATCCACACTGCAAAGTTTATGGTACAGCTATCTCAGACAACAGCGTCCTTAAAAGCCATAAAACTTCATCCAAGTCATATGTGACTTTTAAGCATCATTTAGCCACTGAAATGCAGACTGAAAGCACAAACTGAAAGCTTGAAAAGACAAACTGAAAAAATAACAAGTAAAAACTTTTGAAAGTTTTTACCTTTAAATTATTTTTTTTAATTATTAAATTTAAATTAATATTTAAAAAAAAAAAAAATTTACAGTTTGTTCCTTCTTTGGATTTCCACTAAAAACAAACAAATCCTTATAATCCCCAAGTGACACATCATAGGAAAACACTTATAATCCACTTCAACAGGCCAAGGGGGAAAGCAGTTCGAACCTCACTGTAGAATCATGGTTAACGCATCATTTAAAGACAGAGAGCTGCAATAGTAACCAGCTGGTCCCTTCTGGGCCCCTGACTGGGAGAAGTGTGCTTTCCTTGTGCCAGCCCTGTGCTCTACCTACAGTTGCTTCACCTCATAGATTCACAGAATATTCTGAGTTGGAAGGCACCCACAAGGATCACTGAATCCAAGCCTTACATAAATGGCCCATAGGGGGACCTGAGCTCACCTATCCATTTCAACTGCACCCAGAAAGGGTAGCAGTTCTGATGACTTTACATGTGTAAAATGGT